GGGCGGAGGAAGGGGAGGAGGAGAAGCACAGCAACTTTATCCTTTGAAAAGTAGTTGCCAATCCCTGATGCCATGGAACAAAAACTCCCAAGGAAGGCTACTAGCTCCCTTCTGGCTGTTCTACTCAGTGGGCAATTCAGAAGAGAACTGGTGAAGAGCTTCCTTCAGACACAAACTATGCTCTCCAACGCTGGCAGAACTGGTACACTTTGTCCCCTGTTCCAATGCCAAAACACAAAAATGCAACTCCAGTGCTGCTCATTAGTAGTTTGCTATGTCTCAGACATCAGTTCACAGAACAACTGCAAATTCTAAAAGAATCCCAATTCAGTTGGAAAATACTGTTGGCTTTGGTGTGGAATCTTTGTCAATTATTTCAAGCCCATCAAAGGCGAGGGGGTTGTTTTTGCCAGCGATGGCCCATCCCTGGAAAACAATTATAGTAAGATCTCATAGATCAAGGCTGGGGAGCAACTGGCACTTCAGGCAGAACTGCACAGCTACTGCCAGTGTCAAACCTGACCTGTTGACGGAAGGTTTCAATTTCCAAGGCCATCAGCCTTTACATGCTTATGAAAGACGAAATAATTTTGTGACCAAGCAACATACTACTCCCTGACAGACATGCTTAACAGATTTCAAACAGCATCTTTCCTTAAGAAAGTATCACATTTTGCCAGAATCTCTCCTTACAGAGCACGGCATTGCTCATAACCTCAGAGCTTGATTCTACATTTTGTTATTTCAGCACCAGAAATCCAAAAGCAAGTTAAGATCTCCCTCCTCCTCTCTCACCTGTCACGTACACAGGCTATCCCATGAGGGGGACAGGCCTAATTGTGCAAAGCAGGTCACTAAACACCAGCCTAACCAACCCTGTATAGGGTTCCATCAGGCCAGTGCCTGAAGAAGTGCATGCTGAACCACAGGACAACAGATGGCATTCAAGCAGTTTCTAGAAAATGGTGGGTTTTAATCTGTTGCATAATTATTCGCTAGTAAAAGATTGACTCCAACAAAACCAAAAGGGCCAATTCTTAGCTACCACACACCCCCAGAAATGTAACAGGAATAACGTCTTAAAGGGCATTAGCATCAGCAAAGTAGCAGCATATTTCATTGAATGTGTGGGGCTTTCTGATTAGGCACTGTTAACTGAAGCCCTACAATGAGTAATTTCCTACTCCATAAGACTTGTGCCATCAATTAAATCACACAATTAGCAATGAATCCACCTGGAGCACTAAAAACAGGTCTGTCTGTTCTTTCTCATGTTTCTGAGGTCATTTTATAATTAGCATTTATCTAAGATTTTTACAAAAATTAACTAAGGCTTCCTACCCATGAACTTCCTTTGGATAGCACTTGTTTGTAATCAGTTAGACAAGGACTTCAATTAAACCTAAAAGCACATTCTTGTACAAAGTCTTGCTCCAAAGTATGAATTACAGAACCATTAACTGATGAACAAAAAGAAAGCAGGGAGCCACCAAAGTCAGGACACTGAAGCAAAGGCCAGTGCCTTTGGTCTCAGAACTGATCCTATTTATTTTTTTCCCAATTAATGAGTACTGCCTACAAGATGCATACGCTATCTTCAGTGACACCAAGGTGAAAGTGATCACGAACACAGAGAAACCCAGAAATCCCAGTCTCTCCCACTGGGAGAGACACAACCGAGGGCCAAAGTGTGCAAGCAGACTACAGGCTTTTCACATGGGGTAGTTCAGAAGGCGGCTTTACTAAAGGGGGCACTTCCAATCAAGGAAGGGAAGTAGATGGAATGAGTGAAGGCTGGAACGCTGTTTACATTTAAAATCATCTGACCTACAGACCACAAAAATGCACTGCTTTCCAGAAATGGAGAGCCTATTTTGCCAGTAGAAATTAGAAGTACCTGAACTGCCCAGCTTAAGAAAACAAACGTTTAAAACAGATACCTTTGATCTCTATGGTTACATGATGGAGGTGTACTTGAAGGAGGAGAAAGACCCTTTTAACCCAAAGGCTTAAGAACAGAAGGGCATAAACCAGTTGCAAGTAAGTTTAGGCCAGAAATGAGGAAACATTTCTAATCAGGAAAACGAGTTTATGGAACAGCCTCTTCCCAAGACAGCAAGGAATCCAAGTGAACAAATCAAAAGCCAAGCCAACCCTTCACAAAATAAATGTAGGCTGTTGGGCTGCCATTTTAAGACAAAGATCAGGAGTTGCTTATTAGAAAAAGTAAGCAGCATTGATGGCCAGATTTGTCTATTCCAGTCTTCCGCTGACGAGTCAATGATGTCAAGGTAAATAATCGCCAAAACAGGTTATCAACTTTTTAACAAATTTCCATGTGTGTGCACGATGACTACTGAGAGAAGAATTAAACTCCTCAAGAAACAGAATTGCTGTTCACTCTGCCTTTGACCTCCACTGGTAGCTAATTTTGCAAATGTTGATACACACAGACACTACACAGAAATACCAAAGGATAGACAAATAATGCATTTTTTTGTCACAACTTTTATAAAACACTGTCCCATGATCAGATTTTTGTTCATACTAGTGATTCCAGGTAGTAGGTAATAAAGAGCAGCTGGAGCAGTAAACAACTAAAAAAAAAAGATTACTCAACAATCAAATGAAACAAGACTGGCTTTATCAAGCAGTACCAGATCCTCTTAAATAGTTTCAGATTCAAGAAGCCTTTTAATAAATAGTGACATTTCTTACTCTTGTATACGAAGTCATTAATGTTCCTAAAACACTCTGAATAATAAAAAAATATAACACAGAAGACATCAGAGATAAAAGAGGTCCCTTAGCTCATCCTTCTCTCCTCTGCCAAGGCAGCCATGCCTACAGCTTGTACGCGCTGTGGTACTTTGAAGGCTAAAAGGCAGACTCCTCCTCAAATTATCATTCAAGGACCAGGCCTACAAAGAGACAGCACATGTACAGTATTGAGCTGATGGAAGTTCTCTTCCTATAAGATGCACCAGTTTTTCTCTCCTCGGTGCGAATACATTTGTCAATAGGTTACAGCTAAATAACCTTTGCACAAACAAAATGTACACTTAGTCTTTCAGCAGTAAAAAAAAAGCACTGTTCTATTTTTAATCCTAGTTATCCTAACATTGTCCAATGCAACACAGTTGCAAACACAGTAACAAACACAAACACCAATAATAACTCCTGTTCTTTTATAACACAAGCGTGACCACCACTCATTTGATGCACAGTGGCCAGAATAGACGCAGCAACACCCGCACAGCCCTGCGGCCTCCAGACTAACCAAATGCACTGCCTTTGCTCCTTCCACACCTGCATTATTCATTACCACTGGAATTCAGCAGGGTCTCGTAGCCTCACAGTTGTGTACACTCTGCACAGGGGAACAGGCACTGGTCGCAAAGAGCGGCTTTGCTAGCGAACTGCTACTGGGTCGCTGAAAAGAGTTCTAAGCAGATCTCAAGTAAAAAAAAAAAAAACCACCATTTTTTCCCAACCATTTTTTCAGTCGTCCTGTAGAGTATTTCCTAACGTTCTCAAACAGCACCTATGGGTAGCTGACAAAAGTTTCTGTTCCAACAGATGCCAGTTTCTAACAGGCAGGCAGATCTGCAGTCTGAAAACTCCAACTCGTTTTATGAAGAGCGCGACGTAAGCCCTTAGGGGTCTGATTTCACTTGTGTCGGATCACACCCGATCCTATGAATAGCTTTTTTGCACCGCAGGGGGTTTAAAAGACCGCTAAGGCAAACACGGCACGGTGCAAAGAGCTATTCCCGGGACTAAGGACGACCCGACGCCAAGTGAAACCGGTGGGAATGTTTTCTCCGCGCACCTCAGTGGGGGCGGGAGGGCACCCGTGGCGCAGGGGTGTTCAGCA